TTTTGCATTCCAATGGTTCATGAGTGTTTTCTGCATCTCAAGGATTCATAGGCTCTTCTCTTAAGAATCAGAGTATCTTTTCTTCCTTCTTCTGTATCCCCATAATCCTATCTCAAAATGACAACAAAGGATTTAGAATGTTACATAAACTCAGTTGATCAAGCAGTGGCAGAGTTTGGGAGGACTGACTCCAATTTTGAAATAAGTTCTAGTGTGGGTAAAATGCTGTCAAAGAGCACTGCATGCTACAGAGAAATCTGTAGAAAAGTTGATCTGTGTGGCAAACTTCATTGCTATCTTAAGAAATTGCCACACCTACCCCAAGCTTCATCAACCACACCCTGATCAGTCAGCAGCCATCAAAATGGAGGCAGGACCCTCCACCAGCAAAAAGATGATGACTCATTGAAGGCTCAGATGATGGTTAGCATTTGTGTCATTTGTGTGTGTGTGTGTGTGTGTGTGTGTGTGTGTGTGTGTGTGTGTGTGTCTGGTACTGGAGAGAGAGCCCAGGGGTGCTTTACCACTGAGCTACATCCCCATCCATTTTTATTTATTTTAAGACAGGGTCTTGCTAAATTGCTGAGGCTAGCCTCAAATTTGCAATTCTCCTCAGTCTCCCAAGTGACTGGGATTACAAGTATGTGCCACTATACCTGGTGATTGCAGGATTTTTCAGTGATAATTCTTTAATTAAAGTATATGTGTGTGTGTGTATACACACATATACATATATATTGTTTTTTAGATGTAATTCTTTTGCACCTTTTATATAGTACAAAAATAACTTTAACACGCCCCCCCCAGAAATTGAAAAAATTGTGTAATTCATTTCATTGCAACATTTGCTTTATTGCAGTGAACTGGAACTGAATCCACAATATCTCTGAGGCATGCCTATACAGAGAAGAAGACACCCTTACAAATGTAGGGTGTAGATATAAATTGTCCTTACAAAAGGGCACTTCTACTTCTAATTTCTGAACCTCTTCTTTTTCTGTACTTTCTCAACATAATCAGCTCAAAATAATACAGATAGGCTCCTGAGGTAGAACTCTTCACTTCTTAAGGTTGTTGTATGTCCTGTGACTAAAGTAGCAACCCTTAAATATCCTCAAGGGGGCTGCTGAAAGTAGATGAGATCCAGGCTGAGGAGTTTGCCATATGATGTCACTGAGTGGGGTGAGGCAAGGAAACCCTGTTTCTGGGGACTTGAAGTGAGATGGGAAACAACTGGGTTTAGTGATGAAACTTCTTAGGGATGTGAAGCAACCAGCAAAGGCGTGAGGTGGAGGGAGTCATGAGGGCCATCCTAATCCTAATCCTAATCCTAATCCTAATCCTAAACCACAAGAACAGACCAGGAGTTCCTCAGGTACAGGCAATGGCAGCCACCACCAGCAAGATGTGCCGCTGAACAGACCCGCCCCACCTTGGTGGGCACCAACCTGCCACACCCAAGACAGGATGGGTGGCCTGCCATGGAGACAAAATAAGAACAGGTAGCACACCTGCCCCATCCCCAAGTCCTCAAGTGCCACTAAGATGCAGACCTTCCTCCACACCGAGATGCCATCTTGTGGACAGAGAGGGAAAGGAAAAATCCAGCTCTTGTAGGGAGATTTTTTTTTTTTTCATTGATAGACTACTCAGCCAACATAAAGTATTTTAACTCAAATACACAATTGATTAGAAAAGTTAAGAAGCTTTTCCTCATTTCTTCCTGTATGGTCTGCTTCCCAGTGGGGTGGGTGCTCATGAGGAATTGATTTGTTATAGAAAATTTTAAAAAGCTACATGTTCCTTGTGCATTTGAGTTTTAGTTTGTGTTCAATTTGTAGCTTCATTCTTCACATATTCCTAAAAAAAAAAAAAAAAGACACGTTTTCTAGGGAGAAGAATTCTGTAGCTCCCCTAGGATGCAGAAATACTTGCAATTAATTTTTAAAGCAAGCATTTATATACATATATATATATATGTAAATAAATTATATAAATATATTTCCTCCTTTCTCTGATGCTTTATTTAGAAACTGAGAAAACACAAACTTTAGGTTACTAAGTAACTTCTGGCATCTACCCTTTGAAGAACTTGACTATCAGTAGGCACTTGTCTCTCTAGTCACCTTTCCATGTGGTTTGCTGCTTGTCTGCAGGAGGCTGTCAGCAGCTCTGGCTGCACACGCTGTGCAGAGTGGCCCAGCTGTGTTGGGATCACATCCCAGCTGCTCCTATTCTATGATCTTACCTAGGTTCCCATCTGTCTCAGTCTCAGGTAACTGTCCTGCTGAATTTAAAAAATAAAAATAAAAAGAGTAAAGTTCCTCTCCTTCTTACTTCAATAGAGAGAATGTCAGAATTTTTCAAGAGATATTTCTAGTGAAAAGCTAAGAAATAATTTTTTAAAAACCACCAAAGTATAAAAACAAGGATTTGGGGGACTATGATTTATGATCGTAAAGGCGGGTGCCGGGTGCAGGGGGAGCCTCAGCAGAGATTGCCTCAGATGCAAAGCTTCTAGGGCATTCAGCCATGATTTCCTTTTCCTCTTTTTCATCCCACCAGGGAACTCTTGTCCCAGATTTAGAAATATCCCTTCCTCCTTTAGTGTTTTTCAACTAGTGGACACTTAGGCCGTCTGGCCCCAGTAGACATTTGACAGTGTCTGGAGGCACTTTAGTTTTTCACAACTGAGGGAGGTAGAGGCCATGGATACTTCTAAACATCCTCCAATGCACAGGAGAGACCCCACAACAAAGAATTATACTGTCTGAAATGTCAATTGTACTGAGGTTTAGAACCTCTGCTTTAAAAAAAAGCATGTGGAATAACCTCATTTCAAAATCAGATCCAAGGCTAAGGAGGTAGCTCAGTGGTAAAGTGCAGCCCATAGAAGGCCCTGGGTTAGATCCCTAGCACAGCTTCCTACAAAAAAAATAAAAATAAATAAAGTCATATCTAATATAACAGTCGCCTGCTGTGGTCAAAAGATGACGTAATTCATTCAGGGGAAGAGAAATAATCCCAATTCTGTAATAATCAATCTGTTCATTCACCTACTGAATGATTATTGGTGTCTACTCTGTCCATGGCACTGCTAAGCAATGAGCAAGGCCCCTTAAGGACAGGGGCAAAAGAAGGCCATTAAACATAAAACTTACACAAATGTATTATTTAGTTATAATTGTGTTAAATATAATAAAAAAAATTATGGGCTGGGATAAGAATGTATGGTGAAGGGAAAGTTAGCTCCTCCAAAATCAAAAGAACTTCATAGTTTCTAAAAAATAAAAACTCCACTAAAAAAAATCTTCAGTGTTTTAATCTGTTGAATATTCATTTTGGTGGTGTTCAATGACATCATCTCTTTAGCCTTAGTTTTCTGAAGGAGAACTGTAACTCCTATTTTTTTTTCCAAATGTCAGTTTGAATTTCTTTTCCAGAGCAATAGCCTATTGAAATTTGCTGCAGAACACAGTCTTCCCTTCACTAGGGATGCCAGAGTGATCCTGGGAAGTGATGGGGGTTGGAAGGAAATGTGGGACTTTTCCAAGACTAGAGTTTGGAATCAAATGTGATAACTGGAGGTGGAAAGAAAAAGCTAGATTTTTCCGGTGGGCCCTAAAGACCCACAAGTATATTATAAGGGGCAGCAGAGGGAAATTGGACACAGAGAAAAGAGAGGAAGGCAGATAAAAGAGGAGGAGGTAATGTGACCAGGTGGAAATTGGAGGAATGTGGTCACAAGTCATACAGGCAATCACCAGAAGGACAGGGCAAAGAACGGGTTCCCCCTCAGAGCCTCCAGTGGGAGTGCAGCGGGCTTTCCAGGTGATTTCAGCCCAGAGGTAGTCATTCTGAACTTTGGGCTGCCATAACTAGGAAGGAACATATTTCTGATCTTTTCAATCACCAAATTAGGAAATTGTTGTATTTACTTGGCCTTCTATGTATTTGTTAATTCAACCTAAGATAGATGCATATCTCAACACATTCTAAATCACTCAGTGCATTATTAATTTTGTCTTAGAGCTTTTAGATCTCTGTCAGAGCTTCAATCTACTGGTGAGTCTGATTCACCAGTTTTTTGGTTTTGTTTTGCAGCACTGGGGATTGAATCCAGGGTCTTGCATAGGCACTCAAGCACTGAACTATATCCCCAGCCCATTTTTAATTTTTTTTTTTTTGAGACAGGGTCTCACATGTCTGCCCAGGCTGGCCATGAGTTTACAATCCTCCTGTCCCAACCTCCTGAGTCACTGGGATTACAGTGGTGCACCACTATGTCTGCCTATTAGGTAATGAACCAGATAATAGAGGAGACGTTGAACAGTGTAGATCAGAGATGCCTATGTTTCTCAGAATTGTGGAGAAGGTTCTAGTTTCCGTTTTACTTCAACCCCAAAGACTTCCTCCTGATCTAAGTAAACCTTCTCTTGCCTGAACACTTGTATTTTAAAGGTTCACTGTCCTATACTGAATAACTGATTTAGAATTACTAGTACAAAAATTCTGTTTTCTTTGTTCTTGTTTTGCATCCTTTTCCAGTTTGTATTCTCTAGCTCTGAATATCTTTTTTTTTTTTGAAGAATGGATTTATATGTGTTTCTCTCCCCTCTCCCTCTGCTTGTTCTCGATCTTAAAAGTTACCTAGAGCAAGCCGCCTCTTTTTTCTCTTCTTGTTATTTCCTTCGCTCAGCGGTGTGGAGCTGTGCGGCTGCTTGCCCCTGTTTGAAGCCACCCACACAGTTCGAATCACACTCCCAGCCGCTGACAACTCAACACAACCCATTGCCAGTCACAAATGCTTCCCTCCTGAGTTCCACAACCACTATGAAAATGAGGCCGTGGGATGTAAGAAGAAAAGAAAATGATGTTTCGTGACTGGGAATTTTTAAAAATCTGAGAAATAGGAAATAAAGTAGGTCAGATGATTATTTTAAGATAATCAGTGGTGACAACAGGAACTCAAAGCAAATCTATATCAGAGAATCTGGAAAATCAAAACAAGCCATGTGAGGTCCTTTTATGTAAGTACCTCCTAGTGCTTCAGGGAGAAATGATAGAGAGGACTCTGGAAGGACTGCCAAGCAACAGTCACAGGATCCCAGGTGAGAAAAATGTACTCAGGGCTGTAACTTCATCAGAAATATATATTTGGTCTCTGCTCCCAGTTCCAACTCAGACCCCCTAAAACCCTTATATATCCTGAGTGATAGAGATGCTTGGAGCATCTTTTGTTCTGATATTTGGTCTCTGCCTCTGGTCCTGACAATAGCTGTTAAGCTCCTTGGAAGTTCCTGGGTGATGAGAGCACTTTTGGCTCTAATGAGGGACTCTTGGTGGGCTCCTAGATAGCTTCAAGATGGGGACTGGTCACCAGAAAGCCCAAGCCACAGTTTAAAGCTTGGAATTCCTCCCTCCCTGTCCTTCAGGGTGGAGACCAGCTGAAAGTGAGAGGCTGTCTTGTGGGAGGGAGCATTTATGGGTCTGTGCTAACTGAGTAGTTAGTATCTTAATTGAATTTTAGGACAAACAATAGATGTCCAGAGAAAGTTGATTGGTATCAAGAAAACCCCCACATTTTTGTTATCAGAAGTATTAAGAGTATATAAAAAGGAATTTTTCTTTAAAAGATTAACAAACTGTGTCCCACAGGTCAATTCTGGCCCACCACCTGCTTTTGTAAATAAAGTTTTATTGGAAAACAGTCACGCCCCTCCATGTGATCTATGGCTACTTTTGCATCACTATAGCAGAACTGAGTAGTTGTGGTAGAGACATTTGGCACACAAAACCACCTAAAGTATTTACTATTCAAGCTTTTACAGAAGCTGTAGCAGCAATATCAGGTGCAGAAAGTGAACTCCAGCAGTGGGAAAATAGCAAGGAACTCCAAGTATACTGGTGTTACTAGTTTCCTAGGGCTGCCATGACAGATGATCACAAACTGGGCAGCTTCAGACAACAGAACTTGGATACTTCACTCACACTTTGGGAGACCAGAAGTCCATAATTGAGGTTTCAGTAGGGCTGGTTCTTTCTGGAGCCTCTAAGGGATAACCAGTTCCTTGCCTCTCTCCTTATGGACACATCAACCCTGTCTCTGCCTCCATCTTCACGTCATAATGTGCTTTGTCTTCTGTGTCTTCTGTATTGCTATCTTTATAAGGACCCATCATTGAATTTAGGGCCCCCCTCCTCAATTCAAGATGAGCTGTTTTGAGAGCTGTAACTAAACTTTACCTACACAATTCAACTTATTGCACCAAGAAAAAAACATCAGCCACCTTGGGGGAAAAGCAGACAGCTCAAGGCATTTGAAGAAACATTGTTATGAATGTCACCCACCCACTCTTCAATGTGGCTCTAGAGACAGTGATTCCAAAAATATTTGCCTGATTTTTGTGTACAGTTTTTACATTTTAAGGAAAACATTTTTAAATCCACAGATAACCCTCTATATTTTAATCTTATACTTTATATTTTACTTTTTTCTCTCTTTTCATTTTGTCTCCTTCACAGTTTTATGGTCTACCTGCATAAAGCCTAGGGGATTTAGGATGTCATGGACCTAAAAGTAGCAAAGAGGACAAAAGACTCACAATAAGATCAGGAGAAACTTGGAACCAGAAAAAGTGGTTCTTGCAGCCTCCCTTGGTGACCAAGACAGGGAAGTATCATATTGCAGAGCTGTCAGATAGTGGCACAGAGGGAATCCAGTGAAACCCTTTCAAGTCTGCACAAATCTCTTTCATCTCATCGGGACAGTTTTTTTTTTTTTTTTTTAATTTTTCACTTGCAATTTGAGATCAAGGAGGTGTTGCCCTTTGTGTGGCTCATCTTGTCCTTCATTTCATTTTCATTCCCAGATTCCAGACTACTAATATTGTGCAGATGAAATGTAGGGAGGATTCCTGCTTTTCCCCCTATCAGTATGTACCACTGTGACCAGAATTCATTAGCAAGGAAGGGAAGAACCTGCAGTCAAGTTGGCACTCTTGGAGAAATGTCTGAGTGGAAGTGACAGTTCCCCTTTAGGGACTGTCCTTGATTGGCACTAAATCCAACCTAGAGAGAAGGTGTCAGGGAAATCAGAACTCTGGTCTCCCAAGGACCACATCCTTGAGGATGTGTCAATGGAGCCCTAGGCATGAGAGAGGCAAGGCAGCCTCAGTGGTGCCAAATCAGAAATGCCTCATGTTGGTTGCAAACATCTAGAGTAGGTCCTGTTTTCCTGTGTGAACTTTTTGTCTATTAGCTCCAGAATCTGGGACAAATCAAGGCTCTGAGATCTTAAGATTTAGAGATTTTTCTAAAGATTCACTTTACCCAAAGCACACTGTTTCTTCATACTTTCTTCATGCATGACAAAGTTTCCTGTATTTATTAAATGTGACTTGCATTTCTTAAGCTGCCCAAGCCTAAGTCAAAAAGATGTCCATAATCCAAAATAATAAGACAGAATAATGTCCTTCCCCCCAAAAAAAATGTCCATGTCTTAATCCCTGCAACCTGTGAATATGTTACCTTAAATGGCAAAAGTGTTTTTTGCAGATCTGATTACGTTAAGCAACTTGAGATAGAGATTTTTTTCTGGGTTATCAGGCTAAGCCCAATGTAATCACAAGGGTCCTTTGCTAGGGAGGCGGCAGGCCAGGGGAAATGAAAGTAGGTATCAGAGTGATGTGGCCATGAACCAAGGAATGTGGACAGTTTCTAGACACTGTAAAGGGGAGCTCCTAGAGGAAAATTGGCATTGTGGATACCATGGTGTTAGCTCTATAAGAGCCGTTCTGTACTTCTGACCTCCAAAGCTGTAAGATAATAAATCTCATTGCTTAAAAAGAAATGTACATGGCTGAGGCTGTATTCTGTTTTTTTTTTTTATTAGTGCATTACAGTTTTACATAATGGTGGGATTTGTTGTTACATATTCATATGTGCACACATATAACAAGATAAAGTAGGCAATATCATTCCCTAAGATTTTTTTTTGTTTAATTAGCATTTTTCTGAATGTACCCACCTGCTCTTCTGAAACTGTGATTCCTCTCAAATTAATATTATGGAGTTTTAGTGTATTGTTATTTATAGACTTAAGAGAAAAAAGAAGAAAAAACCTGTGTTTATATCTCAGTGTCACTATTGCTATCTAAATAACTAGTTGGCTTCTCTTAGCTTCCTTTCTTCATATATAAAGTAGGGATAAAAATATATATTCTTTTCAGAACAGTTAACAGAGTAGACCAAGACTAGTATTTTGTAAAGGCCTGATTACAAGGTTGGTCCTTGACTGGTATCTAGGAAACTAAGTTTTGTGGAGGGTTCTCATTATTCTCTAAATGACACAAGAGATTCATTATGCCTAAACCATAAAACAGGGTGGTTTATGCTGAGCATCTACTTTCATTCTGAGGGTATGGGATTTTGACAGATGCTAGACAGAGAATGTCTAGCTGACGAGTCCCTGAAAAATCCCTGGGCACTGAATCCCTAATGAGCGTCCCTGGTGGGCACTTCACATGTGTTGTCCCAAGTCGCCAGAGGAATTCAGCTCACCCTGTATGCCTGAGGACTCATGGGATCTTGACTCTAGTTTCCTCCAGGTTTTGCCCATGTGCCTATTCTTTTTGCTTCCTTTAAGTCGCATTCTTTACTATAATAAATCTTAGCCTTGGGTAAGACTATATTCTAAATCCTGTGTGTCCACCCAGTGAATCATTGAAATAAAGGAGTTTGTTTGAGGACCCCTGACACCCCTTTTTGGTAAGGTTCTTGTAAGGATTAAATAAAGTAGATGAGTGAACAGAGTGTCTGCCACACATAAGAGCTCCATGAGCATTGTTCTCATCCATTCAACAGATGTTGAAACCAATCGTGGATCGCACCCTGCCCTCTACAGAGTCTCCAACAATAACTAGAAGAAATAACCTTGCCATCATGCAGCTTTCATTTACTGGGAGAAAAAATTAATAAATAAAATAAATAGAGTGTTTCAAGATGATGAATGTTGTGGATAAATATAAGGTCCAGAAGGGGAATACAAAAAATATTTGTTTGAGGGTTTTGCAGTTTTAAGCTGGGTAATCAGGAAAGATCTCACAGAAGAGGTGATTCTTGGGCAAATATGTGAAGGAAGTAATGAAGAGGCTGAGCCACATGGACATCTAACAGGAAAGGGATCTAGCAAAGGGCACAGTAAGTGCAAAGGTCTCGGAGCTAGAATATACCTAGTATGTTTGAAGAACATTGAAGAGGCCAATGTAGCTGAAGCAGAGTAGGTCAAAGGAAAGTGATCAGAGTTCAAAGGGGTAAGGCAGAGAGTTGGGGGATAATATTCAATAGGACTTTGAAGACTATAGTAGTAACTCAAAGATCATTCATGATGGTACCTTTCCTTCAGAGTGATAGGAATTCATTGACTGCTATTGGAGAATCAAATATAGAGGGATGAGAGCGGAAGCAAGGAGACCAGTTAAGAGGTTATCCCAGCAATTCAGTGAGACAGTGATGACTCCATTATGGATGGTCCATTGTGACAGCAGAGTATGGAGAAATGGTCAGACTCTGAATATGTTTTAAACGGAATTTAACAGGATGGATTGAATATAGGGTACAAGAGAGGGTTCGGGATGAGTCTAAAGTGTTGCTCTGAGGGGCATCACCCCTTGTGTTTCTCAATTCGTGTGCTATCTACTCCCTCTTTTCCAGTGGCTTTCTCTCTTTGATGCCTCCACCAAAGGATCATTGATAGCAATATGGCTCCTGGTCTCCATCAGTGTCTACAGAGGTGTAAAACATCAAGGGCCTGGATGTGTGAGCTAAGGTACTACCTCCTGTTATGACCAAAGCAATAAAAACTGCAGGAGTGTGCTGACCTCTGCTCCAAGCTCTCTAGTGAGTGCTATGCTTTTTTTGGTCAATTTTCTCCTGCTCTAGAATTCTGGTAAAAATCTAAAGTCAAATCTAAGTGACAGATTTTGTGTAAAACTCAGAATCACTCCTCTGACTCGCCCATTGGTCTTAAATCCAATTTCTCTCCCTCTTTTTCATCTTATGTTCTTTTCTACCTAGGAAGTGCCAGGGTCACATATAAAACTCAACCCTC